TGTATGTACATATATCTAATTTTCTCTGATTAATTATTTTTAATTATATATTTAAATTTAAATATTTTCGAAGAAAAGTCTTTATTTTTTCTAGATTTTTCTGTTTTATTTGATATTTATATTTTTAAAAATAAATAAATAAGTGAATATAAAATAAATAACGCTATAATCCAAGCACATACATATATTACAAAACTTTTAATTTCTGTAATGTCTTCATATAAAAATTATTTTTCAAAATAATTATAAAAAATTAATCAATTATTTTTCTCGCTTGCGTGGCGAAAAAAATTAATTTAAAATTTTTTTGTTCCAAATAAATATTTTAATTAAATATTTTTCCTTATGTAAATAATAAAAGAAATAATATTTTTTCACAATTATATTCTCGGATAAATATAAGTTTTAAAGCAAAATATATGTGTGTTTGTAACACATAACCTATAAATATAATTCTATGTGTTTGCAAATTTACGTAACTGCTGTTAGTGTTTAGTTTTACACCTCTATTCATACATATCTATATATATAAATATGTTTTTTACCCCAACATGAAATGTCAAAAAGTACTAGTATGTAATCACACTAGTCCGTAAAATACCAAACCGGTACTAGTTACCAAATTTAATTGCTTCGAATGCCCACTGCTGTCAACTAACGAAATCGATTGGGAAATCAAGAAAAAAATGTACGGAACTACCACCAGACTACCAGATTCGCTACTTATTGCTTCTTGCTGAAGCCGAAAGCGATTCTTAATACTCCCACAATAGTCACCCAAAATATGTACATTCTACTAAAACTGGTAGCGTGCCTGCCCCCACAATACGAAGAGCTGGTAATGGAATCGCTTGCTCTATTCTTCTGGATGCTCTTATTTCAAAAAAAAAGAAAAACTCTCCTTAAAGAAGTTCCGCCAGTTATTCAAAAACATCTATTCTCTGATCTATTCGGAAAAAAAACCGGGAAGTGTTTCTGAAGCCGTTCCATTAGAAAAACCCGTATTTTTGTTTCGAGAGGACACTCTTTCCCATTTTTTGCGCGGATAAGATTTAATTGAAAATCATTTTCTTTGAAAAAAATATGAAAAAAATTACTCATCCAATTATTAACTTTATCTTATTTACGTCAAAAATTAAACTAGTAATTTTCACAGCTTTTTTGAGTTAGTATAAAACTAGTATTTTGTTGGAGAGTAAACTGAAAACTACCAACTGTTGAATAAATGTCAAAATTATCAAATGCTTGTGTGTGGTTAAAACCGTAAAGAGAGATAAAACAAACCCTCAACTGTATGCGAAACGTCTGTGGTTTGGCTCCCTGGTAATGGGTACATCTCAGGGTCAAATCCATAGTAAACTCTGCACATCACATGGACATACCTCTTATCCCGGCAAAGTATCTGTTAAACCAACCCTTCACTAGAAAAGCCAACAGCGGATAGGAGAGTGAAACCACAAGCCATGTGACTAGACAAATCTGCCCATTGTTCGAGATAAAAAAACTAAGTCTTTACTCCTTCTATACAGTATCTCCATAACCATAACAACCGGCACAATAACCGGACATTGTTTTATGGAGACTCATGGCGGCGTAAGGGTTTGCTTCTCAAACAACTTTTGCTGCAGCTGCAGCCAATGTGCACAGGAAAGAGTCCAATGGTGTGATATCAAATGATCTTGGTGGCCAATCTGGCAAGCCCAAAGCGTGAAATTATCTGCTCACCCAAGTGTGCTCTCAATAAATCCTTTAACTGATGCGATGGTGGGAAGTGGCGCCGTCTTGTTGAAACCAAATATCGCCGAGATTACGAGTTTCAAATTCAGACATCAAATAGTCGGTTAGCATGGCGCAATAACGTTCGGCACTGACGGTTACGTTCTCACCGGCATCATTTTTGAAGAAATGTGGGAAATATGGATCGATGGTGCCACCGGCCCACAAACCACACAAAACTGTGGTTCTCTCTGAAACTCTTCAGGGGCGCAGAGCAACCAAATGCTGCAATTTTGCTTGTTTACATACCCATTGAGCCAGAAATGGGCCTCGCCGCTACATGGCTCGAAAACGACGAGTCTTCTTGGAACTTTTCAAGAGCCCGTAGAGTGAAGCGATGTATATGGTAGGGAAGGTCAAGCGGCTTCAATTCCTGCACAAGCCGTATTTTTTTACGCTTTCATTTTAAGATCTCGACCTAAAATGCGCCAAGTCGTTGCATAAGTTAGTCCGATTTGCAGCGAACGGCGACGAATCTTCGTATACATTCTCAGCTACGACCGCTATATTTTCGTCACTATGAGCTGGACGTGGTCTATTCGGTCGAATATTATCCAATAGTGAATACTGGGTCTCAAGATGGATGATGGTACTTGCGAATAATACGCTCGGTTGGTCGATTATGTTGACTATAAGTTGAGCGAAGCGTGACGTGAAGTTTTGTTGACAGCTTGACACGACTCAGACGCGATCTGTCAAGAAGTATCTCTACTTCGATCACCCCTTACATAACTAACTAACTGGTGTACTAGTTTTGAGGCAATTTCTAACCAGTGCATTTGACTGCTGGGTTGCTAGTTTCAATCCAACGACCATAAGGCAGGTGTATTATTTTATTTATATCGAGCTCGAAGCATTTTAATGAGAAACATTTGAATAGAAAATATTTATATATAAACACATATATGTATAAATGTATATGTTTTGCCCGGCGCCTACGCTTTCCTCTGGCGTATTAATCAACTCCAAGTAAACAGAGGCTCATGGCAAATAATAATAAAAAAAATATATATAAAAAGAAAAACTAAAAATGCAAGTGGCGTTAGAGATTTGTATAGAGAAAGTGAACAAACAGTTAGCAGTGCAGTTACATATATATTTACACTCACATACGAGCAGGTAGGAGTAGGTTAAATGAAAAGGGTGCTATTTAACCACAGCTCTAAGGTGATATCAGTACTAGTTTCTTTGAATGCATGCTTTTAGCCTCCAGCTGACAGGAATTAAGTTCAAGTAAACTCAAAAATTATTATACAATAACTGTACTTAAGTGCGAGAAGTAGCTGAAAATATGCAGTAGTGACAGTTAATCGCTATGCAAAGTACACTCGGTCAGGCTGACAGGCTGTCAGTCTGTCAGTGGTGAAAGTCAGTCGTTTGAGTAAAGTTGGGTGCAGGACTTTGGAGTGAAACTTTTTTTTGTAATTGAAATTTATATAAAAAACAAATGTTTTGTCGCCGTTGTTGGCTAGACTTTTCCAGCCATGAGTTGACTGTGCAGTGCTCAGGACCATGTGCGCGTCAATTCCATCATAAATGTATCGGTTTATCGGCAGGCACTAGTAGAGATGTGCAAGAAAGAAGCGAGATCGAATGGTATTGCGCAGATTGTCGTGAACTATATCGTTTACAATTATATTTTGAGGTAAAAAAAAATGTGTAAAAATGTGTTAAAAATATTTAACAGCAGGTTTTCCTCATTAAAAACCACAGCTCTAAAGGTTTTTAATGCGGCAATATTTTTTTTCGGAGTTGATTGTTGTTGTTGTAGCGATTCACTAGCCCCGCTTGGGAGCAGACCATTTAGTCTAAGTCAGCGAGATCAGCTAACGGGAGATCCAGAAAACGAGTTGTTTTAGCGCATTCGGACCAGAGTGATACGGAAATTAGATGCATCGGTTGGTTAGTGTCGTGCGGAGACTCATTACATATGGGTCATACGTTGGGTATGTTGAGGTCGAGTCTGGATAAGTAGGAGTTTAACCTGCTACAATATCCAAACCCAGTATTATGCGGATCTCTCAAGGCAGCTCGAGCTCTTCGCGCGCTTTTGCGAAGTTGGTCTCAGTTCGGCTTGTCATTTCAATAATGAGCAGACTTACTACGGAGCAACATTTGTAAATCGTTTAAATTTATTACCAAAATAGTAGTACGAGGCACTTTATGAAAGATTTTGCGGTGGGAACTCAGTTTTCGAGCTTGCTTGACACAACCCGTGCAGGTATTGCGTCGAAAGACCAACAAGCGCGTCACATGTATGAAAAATATGTCCGAAAACAAGATGGCCGCGGAACCTGACTTTCACGAAAATATTTTGTTCAAAGATGAAGCTAACTGAATGAGTATGTTTTTTATTTTGTTTTCCAACAAATGAAGGGACCTATAGTTTATAATAAGCCGCCTCCGAACGGTTGACGGTTTTTTTACGAGAAGCCCTTATTGCATGTCCGAAATACACTCGGAGTGCTTGGACATTCGCTGACAATGGGCGACAGCAATTAGCAATGTTGGTCGAACCAGTAGTCGAACCCTGGTTTTCAGAATGGCAATACCAATCGGCTATTTCGTAACCATTCGGACGTTCGGCTCAAAAAGTCAGCGTTTGGTGTGCTCTATTGGCAGACAGAAGCATACTTCAAGAACGAAGCCGGGCATAACAACACCTAAGTGTCATGATTAATAAATTTTTAGTGCCTGAATTGGAAGATGTTGAAGTGAACGACCTTGGGTGGCACTACAGAACATAAAGCGGACAAAAAACTATATGTATTAAAGGGAAACTTTTGCTGAGGGCATTATCTCGCGTCACGGGCCTATAGCGTGGCCTACAAGACCGTGCGATTTGGACTATTTTTTTCTTTTGGATTCTGTGAAACGCTTGCCTACGCAGTCCGAGACGATTGTTGCCTTGGAAGAGAGTGGTCGAAAATTGGCGCTCTTGATTGGGTTTTATTTAAGTCAGCCACGGCGTCTACTTGTCTGGAATAATTTTTAAAATTTAACGGCAAGCATTATTCTTTATAAGAAAGCTTAGTTCTTGGCCATAATATGAAAATTGTATAATGTTTATTTTATATGTCTAGAAAAAACACCCTTTAACCGTATGAAAATATGCATTCGAGTACATTTAAATATACATATATGCTTCTTTTTAGATTTTACTTGCCGACATTTATTAAAAATTGCAGATTTTTATTAAAACGAGCTCTCCAATCCACTTTCAGATAGCCATTTGTGATGATTACAGTTTACCGGTTGACTTTGTTAAGAAACGGCCGTCCAGTTTTGATCCTTGTTTAGCCGAATCTATACCTACAAATCTAGCAAATTGGCCACAGCCCAGTCCAAAAGCCGAATTCGTAAGTTTTTTCTTGCATATATTTTTATTATTATTATTTTTGTTTTAGAATTTGGATTTTTTTTATTTCTTTTTTATGTAATTTTTTTTTTAATATTTTTATATTATTTTTTGAATTTTTTATTATTATTATTTTTTTTTGTTTTAGATTTTGGTTTTTTTTATTTCATTTTTATGTTTTTTTTTTATTTTTTTAATATATTTTTTGCATTTTTAAATATTATTATTATTTTTTTTTAGATTTTGGATTTTTTTTTTATTTCATTTTTATGTATTTTTTTTTATTTTATTAATATATTTTTTGCATTTTTAATTATTATTATTATTTTTTGTTTAGATTTTATATTTTTTTTTTTATTTCATTTTTATGTAATTTTTTTCAATTTTTTTTTAATATATTTTTTTCATTTTTAATTATTGATATTATTTTTTGTTTAGATTTTGGATTTGTTTTTATTTCATTTTTATGTATTTTTTTTTATTTTTTTTAATATATTTTTTGCATTTTTAATCATTTTTATTATCTTTTTTTTAAATTTTTGAACTTTTTTAATTTCTTTTTTATGTATTTTTTTTTATTTTGTTAATATATTTTTTGCATTTTTAATTATTATTATTATTTTTTGTTTAGATTTTGGATTTTTTTTCTTTTTTATGTAATTTTTTTTATATTTTTAATATATATTTTTTGCATTTTTAATTATAATTTTTATTTTTTTTTAGTTTTTGAACTTTTTTTTATTTCTTTTTTATGTATTTTTTTTTATTATTTTAATATATTTTTTGCATTTTTAATTATTATTATTATTTTTTAATATTTTTTCTTTTTTTTAAACCCACAGGCCACAGGTGTCAACAACGAACAGCGCGAAAATCAACAAACTCACACTCAAGACTTGGAGGCGGCACTCCCACCACCACCGCCGCCGCCTGCTTCCTTATCGACATTACCAACAAATAATCATAATAATATTAATAACCATAATAATAATAATAATAATAATAGCGCATTAAATATTTTAACAAACAATTTTGCGCCCAACAACACTACATTGCTACTTGCCAGCCAAGCGGCAACAAATACATCAACAACAACACAAACATTTAACTCACACTCAATTCAAACGAAATCCCATAATCAACATATTCCTCAATCTCAATCACAATCTCAATCACACTCTCAATCCCAATCACAATCCCTGACACAATTTCTTCCGCAAGCCCATCCGCCCTTGCCTACAACGACAATACGACACGCTGCGATTAAGCTCATAGAAGGCTACTCGGACCCCAAAGATTCGAAGCGTCAGAAGAAACTCCAGCACAAGCGTGCCAGGCGTAGGTTGAAAAATAAAAAACAACAAACGCAACAACAGCTGAGCAACGTTAAAGAGCAGGCGAAAACTAAACGTTCGAATTGCACTTCAGGTGGGAAATCAAATATTTAAAATTATAAAAAGAATTAAAAAAAAATTTAGTACTTAAACTTTATTTAGATTGCTTTAATGAGCTTGCTTGCTGTTCACACAGATTCAATTGAGTTGACATAATTAGCGTCGTTTCACAGCTGATACTGTTATTTTCTTTGTCAAAAGCTTTTTCTGGGAAAATGAAGACATTTCCAGTATTTGACAGCTGAGATACTGTTGTTGTTGTTGTTTTTTTTCTAAAGAAAATTTATCTAAGAAAAATTGAGACTTTTTAAACTAAAAGAGAATTTGATTAATTAAGTTTTAATTAGAGAAAAGCTATAGTATTAAGCTTTCGTTATCAGAGCTTTTTAAACCAGTTCCGTGAGCTATGATAATTGAGCTCAAAATTACTAAAATCACTGAGCTTTGCTGTTCACACAGGTGCAATTAAGTTGGCTTAATTATCGTTTGACAACTGATACTGTTATATTTTTTAACAAGAATTTCGTGCGATAAAATTGAGATTTTTTCAAATTTAATTTTAAAGTTTATCTGTATTGGCGTAGGCAACGCTTAGATGATTATGCTCCAGTTAATAACAATCCGCCAGTCGTTTCTTAGTGCAGTGCTTGGGAAATACTATGTGAGGCAGATTGAAGACAATCTTCTTACTCTGCTTCTTCTATCGGCGAATACTTTCAAAGCTGAATTGTTGTACCGCGTACGAACGACTTCAACTGGCCCGCGTAGCTGCTGTCGATGTCAATGTCGCCGTAAATCAGTATGTCAGGCAGCTCTTCTTTTACGTCAATGCCCAAAAGACCATACATTTTCCCCAAAACCTTTCTATCGAAGACTTCCAGAACCGACCCATCGGTTGTCGATAACGTCCAGACCTCCACACCATATAGTAGGTCAGGAATGTTGAGCGACTTGTCGAATTTGGATTTTGCCTCTTCAGTTCGGAGTAACACCTGTTGGCAAGAGTGATTCTACTTTAGAGTTCAAAGCTGCTGGTTCCCAGGACTAATAGCGCGGCTGCACCTTTTCTGTTAAGCTCTTAAATTTGAGAAGTCGTACGCTAATCCGGCCACCTCTGTCTGAAACTTCCTTTAGAACGGCTCAGAGGAAACGAAGCCTTTGTTATTGGGCAGTGTTAGTTTAGGTTTTGTGGCCATAACAAACTCAGACATAACAGCCTAGAGGCAACTCCTTTGCCTGCTATCGAGGGCTGCTTTAAAATCGACGAAGAGGTGATGTGTGTTGATCCTCTTTCCAAGGATATTTTCCGAAATTTGACATATCTGTTCAATGATAGTTTTACAAACCTGAAGTATCACTGTTAAGGTCCCATCAGTTCACAGCCGGAGGACTTTAATCTTTCACACAATACGCTCGGTACTGATGAGAAGGCATCACCGATCAGAATTGGCACAGCTTGTACTTATACTTGTCTACCACATTTGATACCAAAGAAAATATATTTCTTTCTCTATCCACTCGAACTCTCTTAAGCTCGGCCGCAGGCCTGAGCTCATCTCTATATATGTAACTCCAATACGTATTCCTCTGCTTAGCTAATTAAGTCAACTTTGCTCTGTGGCCGGGAACGCTATCCAGGGATAGTCGATCCCTACAGGCTGGAGCTTCAAGAATTTACCCGTAGTAAGGCATGCCTGTCTGAAAAGACGGCCATAGTCCAATAGTTCACGAGACAGTCGTATGTTTATACAGAAACGGCCCGAGTTTTCATCTACCGTGGGAATATCACCCCCACAATGATCAAGCCGAGAGTTTCAATTGCTGCCAGACTATTACTGAAGATGAAGATATAACTTTTTTATTGAACAGAAAGATTGAACTGTTGTCTTTCTTCTAAGCCGATTATTTCCCCATTAATACGAACGCATTTGTAAAATAAAATTTCTTTCTTAGATTCGTCGGGACCAAAGTCTTCGGACGATGAAAACAACCTTTCGTTAAAAGCGCCCGAACTCAATTCGCCAGACAGTATCTCCGATGATCTTGTGCATCCATTGCCTACACAATTGTATCGGAGTCCACGTAAACTGGTAGCTGTACCAGCGGAGACCAACAAACGTAACCCATCGCCATACTACTACTCTGACTTACTAAAGCCGAAGGATAACGAAGAGGGTGCGGTTGAAAAGGATATAAAAAGTAAAAGTCGCCAATCCACAGCTTCTGAACCGCTACAATTAACGCAACCAAGCGTAGATGTAGTTGCCTATCGGAAGAGCACAAGTCTTGACATACCAGAGCATAAGGAGCACGAGCAAAACGAGCAAATTGAAACTATTCAAAGCACGCCCATCCCACCAACAGCAACAGCGACTACAGCGCCGGTTGCGCCCAATGAGACACCGAAACGTTACTCATTCACCGAGGAGGGCGTGCATATAATACGTTGTGACTCGCCAACCACATCGACCTCGGAAGAGTCCGATTGCAGTGAGTGTCAAAAGCGACGGCAATGGCATGCAAAGGCCTTGGCGCTGGTACGCAAAACATGTAATATACAACCGTTGAGTGTGGGCACGAATCCAAATCCAATTGTTAGCAATAATCAGACTGACGATACCAGGAACTTGCCGCTAGTGGAAGACAATTCGTCGATGCCGCCGCATAAACTGTTGGGACCGGCAATTTGCGCCTGCGTTGGACCGACACTTGGCGACGATATAGACGAATTCTTTCGACCACGTAGCATATTCTATGTCCATCCACAAGGCGTGCACGAGTGCGCAGACTGTCATCCCACTGTAAACAATACAACAAACTCCGGCCATAGAAATGTATTTGAAGCCGAGCAGGGTGAATTTCAATTAAAAGCTCACACACTAGCCGAGGGCGAGGACGACGAGATGTCTGGCCGTACGCGACAATTATATGAGACCGCATTCGATTGTAAAATTGCCAAATCGGACGATGATCTCGATGAGGTCGATCGCATAACCAATCATTCGGTATTATTTCAGACGAACAGCAATAGTGCGGGCGCAATTAAGAAGCCTGAAACTCGCTCGACAACAACCAAATCCAATCAGATTAAATCTCGACTCGAAGGTAAGAGATTGAAAAATTCGAAAAATCACGCCATACAAGAGAAGAGCAGCAACTCGGGCGGTAATGCGAGTGGTAGCGGCTCGCCACTATCGATTCAACCCACAGATGGTGATCCGAATAAGAATGGCGATTTCCAGTGCAATTTGTCAAATCTTGCAACGGGCATCGAGAAGCTACACATACGCGAACAACTTACCGACCAACAACAGCAGCAACAGCAACAGCAACAACAAGCGGAAGTGGCCTCAACTTCCACATCACAATTGCCCATACGGGGCTATACACCATCGCCACCGTCAACTGCACCTCTACCGATTAAATTTCCCGGCAAACATGAACGCTTGCTAATGAACAGTATAAAGAGCGCGCCCAACTTGCCATATACAAATCCAGCACATCCACGTCTACGCGACTTACGTCTTCCATTACAGTCTTCGCTACGTCAGCAACACCAGCAGCATACATCCTCAATTGGTACGAGTAATGAGAATAGTTTGACGGATAGCGCTTACGTCAATCCGCCATCCTCGACTTCACGTAACATACACAACATGCCGGCGGCGCACGGTTCTAGAGCAAGGGATAGACCACGTTCGTTTGTAATCGAATCGGGGCGTGTATTGGAACTGCGTAAAAGCCACGTCTCCCACCGCCACCATGTGGGCAGTGACGGTCGGCGAGTACATAATTATTCCTCGACCGAGAGCATTGCCACATCGAGTAGTGGTGGTAGCATGGAATCATTACGTTCGAGTACCAGTGAAGGAAATCGTAGTACTTCCAGTTCAGAGTCAAGGAATTCAACGTCGTTGAGTTCACATAGCTCTGAATCTGGTAGCTCGAGCGTTGCGCTCCCATTGCGAGCACCCATTGTCGTACACTCGAAATTACATATCTTAAGTCCAATCTCTGACAAGTCTTCCCAAGAACCAGCTTCCGAATTATCCGAACATAATAAAACCCAACACACAACACCCGAAGAAATCACCCAGCTTGGACAATTTACACAGTCGCACCAGCATCAGCACACAGTTAGTGTGCACGTCTCAAGTTCGAATCCGGAAAATATCCGACCGTTACAACAAAGCCAAACGGATGTATTGAAGAAGAAGAAAGTACCCGCAAATAAGACACTACTCAATTTAACCGATGAAATAATCGGTTCGGATAGTGGCATCTCATTACATTCGCGTGAGGACTCGAAATTAAGTGCTGGTGGCCTACAAAAATTCACACTTCCAAAGCTTAACTTCACACAGGCTGACAAAACGAATGAGAGCAGTACTAGCGCGGCGGCAACGGCGGCCAACTCGACCGGTGTACCGCAAGAGTTGCGTGATCTACCATTTGATATGCCAAAACTACGACGAAAAAAGACTTTACAGCAGGTAAGTACAGGTGTAACTGTGGAGCTTTCAAAAGCATACATTTGCTGACATATCTTTTCAGGAGGCTTGCACTTCCGGCAGCGCAACGTCTGTGGATCTAGGTGATCTGCCGTTCGATATGCCGAAGTTGAGAAGGCGTTTGCGCACGAATCAAATAGAAATCGGAATCTTGTCCCATAGTACTGAGTCCAGTGGTCTCTCACAAGCGTCCTCAAGCCATTCAATGCGCGATGAAAACAAACTCATCATGAAATTGGGTAAGTGCTCGGCGCTAAAAGTGATTATAAAAGCTTATTCAGGTAGGTGGTTAGCAAATTGACAAGGTTCGGCTCATAATATGAGGACTGCAAGATCGACGAGCTGTAGCAGATGTTGGGTGTTGGTTGAAAAGGAATTTGTCAACCGTGGCTCGGTTGCGAGGAGCCATGGAAATGTAAGTCATCTTCGTGGATGAACAGGATTTACCGTTGAAATTCCACGTGTACGTCCACAATGTTTGATGGAAATAACGATAGGATGCAGGAGGAGGCGGTTGAAGTTTGAAGTTAGAAGCTAAGTCAACTGCCATTAGCTCTGACTTCATAAAAGCTCGCTGCACAAGATTACCGTAATTCATAATAGTTTTCTGATGCTCGCATTTCACAGACTTTGTACGCAAAATCCCACCGGAACCTGGTATCATCCTTAGCAGCGGAATACGGAAAATTTCGAGATAATTTGATTGGTGACAATGAAGTCCCCTAAGACCAACTAGATGAACTCGAGGAAACTCAGCGTGAACTCCGTTTCGAACTACCGAGATTGAAGGACATCACCGGAACTTTCATTTCAATTCCTTTCCAAGTCTACCAGCTGCAATTCGAGAAGATGTCTTCTCAACCAGCAGCTGTAGTTCATATGGATGACAAAACTGCTGTTCGATTCTTAGCATTGACTGTGCCTATAGCCGAGACTCTACAAATGGTAACCGAACTTGAGAGGGATAACTACGAGGTAGACGTTAAAAAGACGTTGAGCAGATAGATATTCAAGTTGGAACTGTAAAGACGCTACCAGCAGCCTAAATAAAACCCTGCAAGAGCTTGCCCGTGCGAACAAGGCGTTGGCTTATTGAAGAAGAACCTTTCGAGAACACTCCGATATTATATAGACCAACATATATATTTACGAAGCAAATTATGACTTTAGATTATCAATATTTTTACTAACAAACTCAACGTGCTCGCTCTTATAAAACTCACCGATTGCTCGTTTGTAGGCCTGGTAACCTCGATATAAATGTTCTCGATAACGAACATTCGATTCACACATACTCTAAAATATGCTCTTTAGTTATCGATCTCTCGTCTTCAATTGATATTTGCCTTTGCCTTTTCACCACACAATGTATAAATTGTATTTTTCAGACGGCGCCGCATTTCGTCAGAATTTAACCTTAAACTTAAATGAGTCGTCGCAACGTCAAACGAGTAAATTCGGCAGCCTCGACACGCGTGGTCTTTCATCCAACAAGGAACTCAATTTGAATATTGCGCAAGGTTTTACGTCAGCGGTGGATTTAATCGATATATCGATACCACTCGAACGTCAAGGGTAAGTCGATAACATTGCAACGGTGCTTGTGAAAAATTAGCATTTCTCTCACTCATTTCTTCTTTTTTTTTTGGTTTTTTTGCAAATGAATAGTTGGTATCATGGCGCCATAACGCGTATCGAAGCGGAAAACACATTGCGTCCGCTTAACGAAGGCAGTTTCCTTGTGCGCAACTGTGAGTCCACCAAGCAAGATTATTCACTTTCACTTAAGTAAGTATGCAAGAAAAAAAATATGACAGCAAAGCGATAGAGAAGTTTCAAATTGAATTTCTATCTTCCCACAGGGGTGCCAAAGGATTTATGCATATGCGCATACAACGCAACGAAGCCGGTCAATATATTTTAGGTCAGTTTAGTCGTCCATTTGAAGCTGTTCCCGATATGATACGACATTTTTGTCTGAATCGCTTGCCGGTTCGTGGCGCCGAGCATATGTGTTTGATTGAGCCGGTCATAGTTCAGCTGTTATAGAGCTTTTTATTAGATAATTTCCAATTTACTTTAGAAATGTAAAATGATTAAGTGCACACACACATTCACGGCAAACTCACACACACACACACACATGTATACATACGATAAAATCATATACATATGTATGGGTATGTGGCAGCTGTTTTACAGTTGCTTGGTTAGGTTGCATATACATACATACATACATACATACATAGAGATAAACATTGTTTACAAGAAAAATTAAAAAAGAAAATCACGTAAAAGTTAAAATAAGACAATACCAAGTTAATATTGATGCAATTGTGTACATATGTACATATATACATATGTTTGTGTGTATATTTATATATTTTTTCGCTTTCACATGCCTACATACATACACGTATGTATATGTACATATATGTATAACATGCGTTCAAATGTTGAAATGCTGAGCATGCAGTTTACTACTGACCAAAACTATACTAGTCCAGAAATCACCTAATTGTAACTAGTTACAAAAATGACAATTATTAGCATTAAATTATTTTATTTAATTTTTTTTTTGTCATGCGTTAATTTATGTTATATTGTGACGAAATAATGACGTGAACTGCGTAATTGTGATTTATGAAAAGTGATCAAGCGTCAATTTTATTGCAACTCGATGCAATCGGGTATTTGTAAAAAATTTCTAAAAATTTCTAAAGCAAGTAAACATGTAAAAAAAACATACTCGTATGTATTTTCAAAAGTTATCATTGCTGGATTTTTTTATATGAAACCTAAATCTTTTCTGGTTCTGTTGTAAGATTTTTGCAAACAAAAAAGGGATAATTAAAAGAAAAAATAACCACATGAAAGACAATGTTGAGATAAAGATAACATTTAGATGAAATTAATAAATAAAAATCAAGAATCACCATTTCTTGGCACATTTTAAGTCGCGCACTCACACTCAAAAGTGCCGTTTTGACTGTTTACTGCGAGAGTTTTCACGAGAAATAAGTGCGGAAGTCTGTTAGATGAATAAAATGTGCTAGAAAATTATTCTCCGGAATAATTTAATACGGTTCTTCTTAGATACTAACTTCATACAAAGAACCTTATACGTCCATAGAACATAAGCAAAAAATTTCGCCTAGAGATATGCAACATTTTTTGCTTATGATCTAAAGTTGTTTTTATTATATTTATTGTGTTTGCGTTGATTTCCTAACTGTCGTACTGGAAGTCGCTGATACGATTGGAAGCTGTTATGGTTGACATCTCGAGAGCTAAGCAGAATAACTCGATGAGACTATACACAAACGTTGTTCGACTCAGCAATATGAGTGTCCTGAATCAACATTCAAAGCGAATATTCACCAAAGAAAGCTTAGGCTTTCTTTGTGTTGGAAATGCAAGGGCGTAGTTTACTTTGAGTATTAATTTGAATGCCGTCAATAATCGAAATTTAGCTATAAAAAGTAGAAAAAAAATGCCCGACGTATTGTCCATCACGCTTACGCCGAAACCCACAATTTGTTGGTAAAATATCAAAAACTCCAACTCAATTGGGGACAAATACCACATCCACCCTACAACGCAGCCTATGAACAATTGATTTAGTATTTGTTTCGCTCATTTTTCAATCACTAGAAATTTAGAACTTTCGATTTCGCTTAGGCCGTTAAAGATGATTTTGTTAGTTTTTCGCGACTAAAAATCAAAACGTCTACATACTAAGTGAAATTTTCAACTTACCGAAGGATCGTAATAGGACAACCGAAAAAAAAAAACAAAAAATCAATATTTCATTATTTAATGTTTGTTCTTAACATAATTAAGTTATTGGAAAATATAATATGAAAAAAGCGACGTTGAATATCGCATAATCCTCTAAGAATTTTTTTTATAAAACCTGATATCACTTCTTTTAGTATTTATAATATTTTTTTTTTATTTAAAATATTTTTTTTTTTTATTTAAAATATTTTTTTTTTTATTTAAAATATTTATATTTTTGTTATTTTTTAAATTTATTTAGATTTTTTAATACTTCAAATTATTTTTATTTTATTATTTAGAGTGAACTAATAATTTTTGAATAATTTTTTTACGAATTTTTAACCAATTTTAATATTTTTGTTATTAATTAATTTTTTTAAATATAAATTTATTTGAGTTTTTTTTTTGATATTTACACCATTTTTATTTTAAAATTTACTTGCTTTCAATTTTAATACTTTTTTATTTATATTAATGATTTATGTTTTATAATATTTAAATTTAATTACCGTTCCTCAATAAATTTACTATTTACAATTTAATTTTTTTTTATATATTTATTTGTAATTAATTTAATTTTTTTTTAATTTTTTTTTATTTTAATTTTTTATTTTTTTTTATTTTAAAAATTTAATTATTTTTATATTTTTTTTTTTTTCATTTTATAAATATTTCCTAATTGTTACTAGTCCTGCTGCTAGTTTAGGAAAAAAGACTGTTAGTTGGCTAACTATTTGCGCTTCCGTGGCATATTCACACACACACACTTTCATAGTAGATATTAACTACTACATTTGACCGCAGGGCCGCATACGTGTACATAAGAGTGAGTATATTTACTGTGTATGTATGTATGTATTTATGTACAGATGAATATTTTAAAATGACGTTATGACGTTGACTACAAGTTTTCAGTTTATTGCCAAAAAATACATGCATACATATGTACATAAGTATACCTTTATGTGCAAATGTGTATATGCATCTATATATACATATATGCAGGTATAATATGAGCGATATGCTTTACATATAACGTTTATATAACTATGTACATACAGATTTATACATACGAAAAAGGCACTATATTTATTTACATGCATACAGATGTATGTACATAAGTATGTACATGTTGCAATATGTACAAATTATTTAAAAACTACTCACATACCTACACACATACATGCATTTACGCACACATACTCAAAGTTCAGATGCTTTGTACATACTACATACGTATATATGTATGTATGTATGTATGTACTACATTCACACATACACTCTTCTGCATACTGTTGCGAAAAAAAATATGCGCTAAAAAAATTTGTTATTTGTTATTAATTTTTTATTCTATTACGTACATAAATATGCATATATGCATATAAACATATATAAATGAAGTCGTCACAATAAATAATTTAGCATTATAAGTATAAACATACATATATACTATATAATTATAAAATATATTATATATAAAAACTAAACTGTAAACATACATACATACATACTCACACGCAAGTTTGGTTGAAAAGCTCAAAGAGCAAATATATTCATACATATGTACATATGTTTAGTATGTGCTTGCATACGTTTGTGTGTACTTACATATGTATGTACATATAATTTTTTTTTAATATACATACATACATATATGGATACATATGTATTCAATTACCGATTTTGGTGCAATATTTATTTATTTTTAAGTGCCAAAACTATTTTTATAATAATTTATAAATGATAATATTTATATTATGCTCCTAAAAGGTATGTGCAATAATTTATTTAGTTACATGTAATTTTTTTCTTCCTTTTTTATATTGTATATATATTTTTTTTTCATCATGCAAAATAAAAATGCATACATACATACATATTTATGTCTGTATAACGCCAATGCACCAGAAATACATACATGTGTAGAGTAAAATAAGTAAAATACACACAGTTGCACATACAAAATCACATACAACGTCGCTAAATATTATAACCAAACATCGATATATGTAAATAAAAGTATGTACCAACTACTTACATACATACATACTTTCAATTATGTAGAATACAAAAAAAGCTAAGTTTTGCATTTTGAAATATATACATACATACATACAAATATTTATTTGGAATTAGTTTCATATCAATCGTAATATAAAATAATAAACGATTTAAAACAGGCAAAAGTTATACATATACGCATAGAATGGTTTCGTTAAAATTCATAGATTTTTATGCATGCCTTAACTCCATGCATATACCTACATACTCGTACATACATACATACATAAAGAAGCGTTTCTATAAAATTGCTAGTAGGAATAGTGATATTAGAAAAATAAGCATTTTAAGTTTTATAAATGATGCAAAAAAAGGAAAAAAAACACGGACTCAGTAGGTAATTATGTATGTAAGTGTTTTTAATGAGTTAAAAAACTACTTTTTTTGTCTCTTTGGTTGAAGTTATAAAAACTTCTTGGTATAAAAAATGTACAGATTTTAACAAGCATAATTACGTTTTTGTATATTTTTGTTTGCTAAATATGGATATGTGCATGTATACATACATACATATGTATATATAATACTTTTTAGCAAAAAAAAAATATCTGCTATTTACGATTTAAAACAAGCAGAAAAGGGGCATTTGCTTTTTAAAGCACTTCCCTAGCAAGAAAAAATAATAAATATTTATTGACATACATACATACATACTTACTCACATTAATAAAATAATAAAAAATTAATATTGTATATTGTATTAGTCATAGATATTCATACTAGAAATAAAATAAATAATTAATTACCAAAAAAAAAGAAAAAAACAATAAAAAAATATATATAAAAAAACAACATATATTCTCTTCTGCCACAACCATAATTTCTCTTTTTCTTTCAAACCAAAATTTAAACTTCCCCAAATGTTGCGTACTAGGCGTTGAAGAGTAAGAAGAGAAATGCTACCCTTATCCCAGCGTAAGTATTAGGGTTGTACAGTGAAAGAAAGTAAGCCTTTAACCTTTATACCTACTTTGTTGTTTGTGTGAATATGAATAAGCGCCACAGAATAGATAAAACGCGCGGTCGTCTAAAGCCATGCTTATGCGGCATCTGCCATTTTTCTATAAACCGTTGCGAGAACCCTAAAATGTTCCAAACGAGCAGCTGTAATCTTAGTTAAAAGTTGGCAAACCGACTTTTAAAAATCTATTTTCATATATTTTTTCGCATTTCAATACCTTCTACTGCTGTAAGGATTTGGCATTGCCAGCCCCTCGCAAATTTCGATGTGTATACTTCTCTCCCTCCTTGTCCCCTTTAATCCCTAAACAAATTTTAGGAAAAACAAACACAAATAATAATTCTCTGAGTTTCCAATAAAAAAGTACTATTTGCAAGTCATATATATTTACGGAGACCTAGATGGTTACATAAAAAAAAAAAACATTTCATTATTAAACTCCTTTTCGTATTATTCTGATTAATTTAATACAAAATAATTAAGTTTTACACTAATAATAAGAAATTAAAGGAAACTTAAATACGAATTACACAAAAACAAAGCAATGTATGGAAAACATGTCTATTTCCAACAAATATCAAAATGTCAGCACTTTATATTTATTTTAATATGTTTTATTGTTTCTCGCCATCTTCACTTTCTCAGTATTTTTTAGAATTTTAAGTTTTCTCTATTATTATAATTAATTGCAAAAAAATCTGCGCTTAGATAAATTTACAAATCCTCATCCTCTTCTGGCAATGCGGTTTCTTGAGCTTCTTGTAAATCTCTCTCGATTTGCAGCTGCCAATCCTTGTCCATCTTGACTTCTGGCGGTAGTAACGCTGGCATAGCGACAAACTCCAAATTTGGATCGCCTACCAATTTTCGTGCCAACCACAAGAAGGGCTTTTCAAAGTTATAATTTGACTTCGCAGAGATATCGTAGTACTGCACATATAGAAAGAGAAATATTTATTACATATATATTTATATTTTAGTTAACAATTGCATACAAAAGAAATTAAATATCTTACCTGTAAATTCTTTTTTCGATGGAAAACAATACTTTTAGCCTTGACTTTACGATCCTTGATATCAGCCTTATTGCCGCACAAGACAATTGGTATATTTTCACATACACGCACCAAATCTCTATGCCAATTGGGTACATTCTTATATGTTACACGTGAGGTTACATCAAACATAATAATAGCACACTGTCCCTGAATGTAGTAGCCATCACGCAAACCACCAAATTTCTCCTGACCAGCGGTGTCCCAGACATTGAAACGGATTGCGCCACGATTTGTATGGAAAATAAGTGGATGAACCTCGACACCGAGTGTAGCAACGTATTTCTTTTCGAATTCGCCTGTCATATGACGTTTGACGAAGGTGGTTTTGCCAGTACCACCATCTCCAACTAAAACGCATTTGAATGTGGGAATATCAGCTTCTTGTGCCATTTTGTGAACTGTTTAATTCCTTATAATTCACTGGAGTTTCTGTAAAATAATATAAAAATGTTGAAATTTATTTCAATATTATGTGAAAAAGTTCATCATTTATTAGCTAAATGACGATTTAATTTCTAGAAACATTTTCTGACGCATACAAAACGCATTTATGTATACACATGTGTATATGTATACAATGTATACTATGCTCACAAATGGATGCACATATACAATTTTGCAAAAGTCCAATCTGGCGTTGGCGCCAAAATCGAGGATATAGAAGCTATATATATAAACGCTGGCAGATGGTATTTCATCATACTTATTGTTTCGCATGAAATTTTGCATATTAACCAAAATTCTTTGTAACAAATTTACTGTCTTATAAATAAATGCCGGTAGACAGCTGTGTATTAATCGTCAATGACGAAAAAATACCTAACCTCAATTAATCCAAACGAAACATTTGCTTTGCAATAATTTCTATTAGGTGCATCTTACGTACACTTATGCAAAGTTAGTACTTTACATTTAGCTGTAGCATCACAACAATTCAAACAATTGTTGAAATATTTGCAATATAATTTATAGGTATCAAGTGGTGAGCAATGAAAAATGCCAAACAACCGAAACCACGCTAAAAAATTTAGAAACCAAAGCCCACATGCCAATGCCCAATTGTACGCGCCCATTTCTTTAGTCACATTAGCCTTTACTCAAACACATTTTTCACATTTGTCCAACTCCAAATAGAACTTACATTTGCTGTTTGTTTTATATACCTCTGTTTGAAGTATTGAAAATCTTTACCAAGCAGAAAAACTTTTTTTTTATAATATCCACACGCGAAGCACACTCGGTTTCTTGGTCTATGAAAATTGCAAAAATTCGATTCCGCTGCTAAACTCGGTCTGCGGCGAATAACTGTCGGAAAGTTGAATGTAAACTCGTTAAAGTTGGCTGCACTGTAAGCAACGTTGCCACAAGTCTATTATATTTGTACAAATAAACGGCGAATAGGCGTCCAGCCAGCGTCAAACTACTATAAAGGCCTTAGCCCAATGCGAGCGGGTAATGCTGGCTTCGCTTGGCTTGTTTTTTTTTTGTTTTCATGTCTCCAAATGGCTTCAATCAGTTAGCTCTATTGTAAGCTTAATTTCCCGATGATTGCGATATCAGAACAACGCACTTACTTTATAAAAGTCCCTTAATTCTTCGTAGGCTAATATAACTGAAGTTTCGTAGAATTTGAGAAAAACATCAAGACGAGCACTACGGATTGTCCCATTGCTTTTCTGTCCGACAAATAGCAAAACACATTAAATAAATAATATTTTCAAGAAAATGGCAAGAATAACAGTCTCGTCTCTTGATCTTTTAGATTTTAGACATGCGTTGATTAAAGGTTTAATATTGTTACGATTTGAATCAACCTCGATGATTTTCCGAATCCTTCCGGTACGATCTCTGGATTGTTAAATAAAAAATCGCCAACTTAGTTTGCAGTTTCTTTCGTTATAAAGAATTTATCTAATGTCCTTTATTTACTCAGTAATTCACAATTCAATTACAATGCACTTTACTATTTACAATCACTTGTATAAAACTTCCACAATTTACTTTACTTAAATCTATCTGATCTCCAACGAGTTCACTTTGTAACTGACTTACTTGGCAGTTGAGTGTCGCCCTTATATAGCAGCCGGCTGCTCGTAGACGAAAGTGTAGAATAATCGAGTTGTTCGATATCGAAGGTTCTCGTTTTATCGCTCTAGAATGCAGAGAACGTTGATATTATATTTTATCTGCCCCTGCCTTGAGGTGAATGTGAAATGTTAAATTTAACAGAGCTGAGAACAAAAATTATTTTATAGAGAGTCAAATTATGCAACAATGTTAGTTTGCAGGTGTCTTGTTTTGGTCATATTTGTTTACATTTTTGCATTTGAATTTGACCTATTTGTAATAGAACCACAATTAAAGACGCCAAAAATGACAGCCCACAAAGGAGAAGGATTTTTTTTTTAATAAAATTAACTATTTATGCGCACAAATATAATTTTTTATTTCAATATATTGTATAGATTGTATTTGATAGTAAATATATTTATATGCATTCATTTGTGTGTGCGTACTTTGCCACGAGCCAAACCTTAGCTATCGGCTAATAAAAAAATCAAGTCGAAACCCATAGCCAGGTTCAATGCACTTTTTTATTATATTATATTTTCGTATTGGACCGTTTTTTGTTTGCTTTTGGACGGACCAACTTGAATTGCTTGCTTCCCAATATGAGATAATGGGCAAACAGCAAATTTAGCAGCACGATGCCGATTTTCTTCAATTCGGTAGGCAAAGTCTGAACAGAGAACGTATAACATATAACATTACATGTTATACGTTCGCTGCCTATGCTGACCAATGTGATTCATTCATTCACGTTATGCATGTTATCGATAATATTTACACTAAATGGCCATCGGTTTCTCTAGCGTCATTTCCGCTCTGGTATTTAAATGTATTGGTTTTTAATATTTTGCTTTTTAATTCGCGTTTAATTTTGTGTTTAGTTATGGCTCAGTTTGTACTTGAATATGGATCTTGCTAACACATGGACAGTAAACGTGTAAGTGCTTATGTAGAACTGATTGTATTGACACACATAGACTTTCTGGTCTCTTCCCAGTTGCTTTCAATTGGCATTTCAATTAAGAATAACAAATTCGACGAAAAATACTTACTTTTTATATGCATTGCAAATAAATGTTGAATATAAATATATGTGTTATTGTTTTTATATAATTAGGTATATTTGTATTTATTCGAATTCTGAAAATATTAATTATTATATTTTGAACTTACCGCACATAAGTATGTATGTATTTAGTTATACAAATGTTGGTATAAATACGTTGTAAAAATATTTATGCATGCATAAGAATTTAAAAAGTAAAAAAAAAAATAAAAATTAGATAATAACATCTGCGTGTGTATATGTAAGCAAACCGAAATACTTAACAACGGAATACCTACTTAATATTGAACTAAATAATTTCAATCAAATCAACAACTCAAAGCCTAACGATTTTGTTTTTTCAAAAACGTAAAGTACACACAAACAAAAATATATATGTACGAGTATGTGTAGAGCACGTTTAGATATTGTGTTCACATACGAAACGTAGTGAAGAAAAAAATTCACACACATACATAAAAATATTTGACTATAAAACTAGATATACAAGGACCTACGCAGGCGGATATATAAGCAGCTCCACTTAACATACATACAGATATACTAATAATTAAAAGTATATATATGTATATGCATATGGGTAAAGAGACACTAGTAGTGTAGTACTACTCAATCGGAAGACTCCTCAACTGGATTTAATTCAATTCCCGCTTGTCTCTTTGCGTAATCTGCGCCATGGTTATGTATTGCCGTACAAGTCGTGAAATCTCGTGCGCCTGCTCGGTTTGGACGCGTATAACACGCTGCTGCATGAGATTGCCAACTTTCATATCAAGGAAAAGTGCACCATCCTCTGAACGCACCTGCAATATGTACATACAGGCAAACGTGAGTAACACAGTTACTACATAAACAGTTACACGTATTGCTACTATACTCACCTTACGTGTCGATATAACCTCCATGAATGGCCAATGTTGTAGGGTTTCGTGTGTGTTGGGATCCAGAAAGAGCACACCACGTCTATTCAGTGCCAGTATCAGATCGCGCCACATCGGATTACTGTCCTCGACATGTGGACCCTCCTCGGCCCAAATACGTTTCACCGCAAAGAAACTGCTGCCGAAGAGCGGCCACGCAGAGAGTACCGTTAGAAATTGTGCCTTCACTTGACTTGGTGTCAAATTGGCGATTTGCGGCCAAGCCGATTGCACCAAACCGACCCATTGCGCCGGCCGTATCTCACGTATACCAAGCGCTGGTTTGGGTAATAGAAATTTAATCTCCTTCATAGCTGGAACATGTGTTAGATCAGCGGCTCTGTGCAGTAATGCTGCTATGCGCGCCATATCGCGTACAATCTCCGGTATTGGTACGCCATTCGAGGGTACCTCCAGTAGTAGACCCTCCAAGTAATCGGGCGCCACTTGATTGAAGAGCACCTCGACGTAGAGTGGCGTTGGTGCGGGTTCCCTTTTCAAGGGGAAATGCCAAACGGATCTACAGAAAATCAAATAGAATGGTTGTCCTGATTTCAGCAGTTCCGTTGTAACATCCAGTATATATTCATCGGCAGCGAGTGGCATTGTGAATGCATCGCCCTGTACAATGCAGTACAGTGAGAACTCCTGTTGTTCGGCTTCCGATTCGACACTGAGCAGGGCGCACAGCTCAGCAATGACATCGGCAACGACCGTGGAGCAACGTGTGTTAACAACGCGTTCCGCACCGCCGGGTAGACGATAGATTTGACGACGCGCCGAACGCCCAGCTGAAACTGCAGTGACCTCTTCCACACTAGGCACGTTCTTGCGACCGCCACAGCGTGCGGTCTTGCGTAGATTCGCAAGACAAACAGCGGCAGTGCCGTGACAAGAGCGCCGTCGGTCCGAAGCGGCGGAGGTCAGATGCTCCATTAGATATGGACGCAACGCATCGGAGCAACCAAAGTATGCAGCCAAAATGCTAAGTAAACGCCAAGCGCGTTGCGCAGAATCGGGACAGGCGGAACGATTCGCTGTCGTCTGCTTCATCAGCTGACAGTAGACCTCATCGCGTAGCGCAAGATATTTGTGACAATGCTGGTGTAAGAGTACAGTTGATTAGTGAGCATATTACAGTTAGGTTATGTTTGATACTCACCATAAGTACAGTGTAGACACATTTGACCTCAGTCAGTTCGGGATCGTGCGGTATATCGCCGCAATAGCGCAAGATGCATTCAAAACATTCGAGCGCTAACGGCGCCAGATCGTTGGGCAAACGCAGTAAGGGCAGGCGTATCGGCGTGCCCTGCCATTTTACCAAATCCGCATACGAGGGCGTCCTACGCTCGCTATGATCGCGTGTTATGTCTCGACTATGGACGCGGCTATCGGTGTATTGACTGCTGCAGTGGAAAGGTTAAGTAAGGGATATAGTTCAAATGCAAATTAGGTGATGAGTTAGTTATTTAGTTGGTTAGCACTCACTCATTGCGGAAGTGTTGCATGGCGAACTGTAGCAGGGAGTATTTGGTGACGGACGGTGATGGCCCACCGCCGCTGCTATTCGGCTCTTCCGTCATATAATTCGCATCGAGGGAATGGTGTGGCAATGACATTTGCTGCTGCGTGTGCTGTTGTTGTTGCTGGTGCTGTAGGAAGTGCTGCTGCGTCTGTTGCTGCTGCTGCTGCTGCTGCTGTTGGCTGCCGGATATTTTGCGTCCGGCATGCAAGTAGCTCGCTTGTTTCGTATACGGATGACGTTCCATTTGCATTTCCATATGATTGCTCGCGTTCAGTGGCATTGCGTCCGTCTCGTTGTCCATATTATGATGATGCGCCTCCTGGTGGACATCGACCTCGGTGTCGACGCTGTGTCGTCCATGTTGTATGCCAATTGACTTTTCTACATTCACCTCATGACTGTGCGCGGCGTTCATCGCAGCTGCTGCGGCGCCGTTTTGGCCACTGTTGGTCGCGGCGCCATGCTCACGGTGGTTGGATTGTCGCGATTCCAAGCGTTCAATTGGTACGTTGAGTGTTTGTGCTGCGGCACGGGCACCCGATGATAATGTGGAGGCTTTCGATTGGCTCTGAAATGAAGCAAAAAAAAAAAAAAACAAAAATAAATAGTTACCGTTATTAAAATATATTGGTATTTGAATTTATTTTTGTGGTCAAAAACTGGACTGGCGCGCCGAAATGTGAAAGTTGTGCACCAATTCAAGCCAATTTATGTACGTACTCGTGCATATGTATGTATGTTTGTACAGATCTGTATTATACAATTACCAGCGTGGACTTGCCCCCGCACATTTTGTCCACAAAGTTTTCATAAAGACACATAGAAAGGAGTTTGGACTCTGGTTGTGCGTATGAAAGTAAATACAAACTCTAATGTTGTTTTTGCTATTGTAGCCGAAAAAATATTCCCTAAAGTAGTTTTCAGGGTACGTTACAGGAGTGACAGTCTTTGGTTGTATAAAAATCCGGGTCGTTCGGTGGAAAATTTTGGATTCTTAGTCGCTTTACCGTGGAAAAATTCTTGAACCCAACACCGCAGGAGCATCAGCCCGATTCTGCTGTACGGCGTGATGACGTCATCTGGATTTTCGAACAATTTATGGAGCTTTGCGCATTGCCAGAGGAGATTACCGTATATTATGGATACAGAAACAATCTCATGAACCGAATTCCCATTTCTGTAGTGGATGGTGACTGATGATGAAAGGCAGGCAGTGAACCGACACAAGAAGTCTCCAAACCAGTATTGGCGACCAGGAAGGTCTTGTGTTTTTGTCGGGATTGACAAGAAATCATACAGTATAAGCTGCTGTGCTCCAGCTAAACTCTTAATTCGAACCTATACTATCGGCAATTGGATCGTCTGAAGGAACCAATCGTTCAGATGCGCTCAGCTTTGACCAACAGGAGGGGAATTGTGTCTCGTTCGGACAACGTTAGACCACACACACACATAGATAGTGACTCGCCGTAAGCTTCGAGAGCTTGTTTCGGAGGTTTCCACGCATCCAACTTATAGTCCGGATCACACATCAAGTGGCTACCAACCGTGCCAGTCTATGGCGTATGATTTGACTGGCGAAGAATTGGCCTCAAGGGAAACCAAGCGGCTCTATGAGAGAGGCATAATGACAACTAATGGTTTCATGTTTACAGCACCCAATATTTATATATGTAAATATGTATGTACATATATGCCAAAATTAGCATTAAATATTTTATGCAAAAAAAGGATCAACAGAAAGCCGCGTCGTTTGGCTAAACCCGTAAAAATGTGATTTTTTTTTTTTTCAATTATTTTCTTTATAAAACCCATCAGTGGCCAGTAGCAACGCAATAAACTTAAGCGAAAATATGTCTGAGATGTCTAATAGACAACGTTAAATGGACGTAGCCACAATACAAACTGGGCCAGTTCGAGTTCGAGTAGCAAAGCATTGTGTAAATGACCGTTATGGTACGTCCCAGTGACTTCACACAGCTTGAGAGCGGCTCAATTCGAGAAATATAATTACACACTTGAGGCGATTGTGTGTATGTATGTACATATGTATACACACATACATACATATATGTATGTATTGCTAAAAATACACACATACATGCACGCATACACAGACATATTAAGTATGTGTACAGGTATTCATGGTTGAATGTTACAAGCTGACCGACCGCTAATGCAACAACAACGGTCATCCAACCGACACCAACACGAAAAAAAAATGCATTTCACCTGTACGTACGCAGCATAGCAAATTGAAAAAAATAAAATAAATAAAAAATGTTTAAAATTAAGATTGCAAATTTAATTTCATTTATTCTGGTGCACTTGCGCATACATACAATAATGAATAATTGAATGTATGTATATATGTACACGTATATATAGCATGTACATGTACGTGCTGCCACAAATCGACGCTGTGGCGAATCAAAGTGTAAATTGTGAACTAAATTAATGCACCAAAATGACCGTTTGGCCACAACGCACACATACATACATACATATGCACACATACATACATACATATGTATAACTTTGTTTAAATTTTTAGCGCTCGCTATTCAGTTCATTTTCATGCACCTGCAACTGCTGACTTTCTATTTCATAAATTTCGGATCACTTTTATAAATGTATTTATATACGAGTATGTACATATGTGCAGACACGTATGTACTCGTATCTATGTTTGAGTATTTTTTTCTCCTAATTTTTAGATTTTCTTTCGCGCTGCTTTTGAGTTAATTAATATTTATTTGGCCTACACATATTCATATGCTAACATCCATATGCATGTATGTAATTTTGTACGTGTGTCTACTTATTTACTAGTTCTCACAAACACGCACTTGAGCCGATCGCAACTGTGGTTTTAGCGAAAATTATGTTAACCAATGGTAATTGATTATTATTTTTTTCTTTTTAATATCAGACACACATATCTCAGCCATTTGAATTTGTATCTGTGTAGATTTGTATTGTTCTTGACAATGAAATATCGAGTAAACCACGAATTTTCTGACATCTAATAGAATTACTAAATTGATTATAATTACAAAAATCAAAATTAATAATTTGTTTTAATTTTATTTTGCTTAATAAGATGTAATTAAAATCAATTAAATTTCGCTTTGATTTGTTTTTTTCACATTATTTTAATATCATTTGAATTTATTTTAATTTATTTTAATTTATTTAATTTAATTTTATTTAAGATTTTTGTTTATTTTATTTTAATATTACTTTATTTTATTTAATTTTATTTTACTCTTTTTATTTATTTTATTTTATTTTATTTTTTTCAATTTATTTCATTTAAATTTATTTTGATTTATTTAATTAAATTAAATTTAAATTCTCTACTACTTTGTTTTATTTTATTTTATTTAATTCAATTAAATTTAATTTCATTTCATTTCAATTTTCTTTATTTTCCTGTATTTTTTTAGTTCGTCTTATTTAATTCTGTGTCATTAATTTTATTATGCTTAATATTAATAGTTGGTTTATTTTATTTTATTACTTATTTTATTTTATATTATATAAATTTAATTTTTATTATATTAAATTTAAATTAATATTAATTAAATTAATTAAATTTGTATTTATTATTACATTTTATTTTATTTTGTTTTATTTTATTTTATTTTATTTTATTTCATTTTACTTTATTTAATTTAATTTAATTCTATTTTTATTTGTTTTTTATTTTACTTTACTTATTTTTTATTTTGTTTTTCAATTCATTTTATTTTATTTCATTTCATTTTATNTTTAAAAAAAATTATTTTATTTTATTTAATTTTATTTTATTTTATTTTACTTAAAAAAAATTTATTTTACTATATTTTTGTTTATTTTTTTAAATTTTTTTAAAAAAAATTATTCATATTATTTTATTTTATTTCTATTTTTTATTAAATAAAAAAAAATATTATCTATTTCATTTTATTTTATTTATTATTTATTTATTTCGTATTATTTTTTTCATTGTATTTCATATTATTTTTTCTCTGTTAATTTCTTTAAATGATTATATTTACATATATTATATTAATTTATTTTTTGTATTTTGATGTAATATATTTAACTTTTGTACTTTGATTCGTTTTAGTTAATTTAGTGTTAGTAATTTATTTTATTTGGTATTGTTTTCATTTTCATATTTTATTTTAGGTTATTTTATTTAGTTCAAATTATTATTTTTTATTTTTTTAAAAAAAAATTATATTGTTTTTTTTAATAAATTTAGTTTAATTGAATAAAGTTTGTTTTATTTTAATTGAATTTCATTTTGTTTCATGTTATTATCTTTGGTTTTAGTTCATATTACTAAATTTAAGTTTAATTTTATTTTTGTTTTCAAAAAAAAATTTTTTTTTTCATTAAATTTTTTTTTTTGTTTAATATTTTTTAATTAGTATTTTTTAATAAACTCATTTAATTTTCATTTTATTTTATTAAAAAAAACATACTTATGCTCCTGCAGTCTTTTGAACTTTTCTGGATTATTTACTTGGAGTTGGAGCAATGATCGCTGGCTACATTGGTTTTATGGCCAAAAAAAATGTATTTCAAGTTCAACTACAATTCCAGTTGGGCTAGGCAAAAAAAAAACTTGTCCAACACTCGCATTGATACATACATACATAGATGCAAAAAAAAAACTTGCAATTGGCGATGGCCAATAACTCGATCAGTTCCTGAAAAAAAAATAGCGACCAGAGTAGCGATGGATATAGACAATAAGTACAATAAAAAAAAGGCTGTGGCAGTCATATACGATAAGCTCCAGCAGCATTACAAAAAAAAACAAGGTTTTCAGACGATAAGGTGCCTTTTTTATGATTGATTAAAAAAAATTACTCAAAAACTTGTTAAAAAACCAAAGCAAAAAACTGAAAAAAAAAAGTTTCGGTCCATTTCGAACTAGGATCGGAACTAGTATAATTTTAGTAAAAAATTAACAGTTGTCAGCTCGTAGCATAACAAATATTGCATAAAAAAAAAAAAAACAATTTTGTAACAAGTTGGAGTCGCTTGGCACACTACTTTTGAAGTACAATAGTTTTTAACCAGTTAATTTCGCTGCAGATTATAAAAAAAAATACAAAGCTGCCTACTCATGTATGAATATATGTACATATGAAAAAAAATGCTTATTGAAATAACAGTTCAAGTGCAGTTACCCAAGAGTAAAAAAAAACACATATAAAACGTGTCATAAACTTTGACCATAAAATGTAAAAAAAAACACGTATGTATGTGTCTAAAGAAATTGTGTAATTATGCTTAATGTTGTGTTAATTTTCCGATAAACTTTTTTTTAATTATGTTTGCTTATAAAAAAAAAAAAACTCGTCTTTTAAATTTGATTTTTTTTTAACTTTTTATTTTCGTTAATATTCAGTTAATGATTTTTAAGTATCTTACTTAATTATTTCATTACTCTTTTTCATTTTTTTATTTTAATTCAATTATTTTAATTTTATTTCAGTTTATTTTTATTTTTTAATTTAATTAAATTATTATTTTTTAATTATTATTATTCAGTTTATTTTGATTTTT